ACATCTTTGCTCTTCAACACTTTTAAAAGGTCTTGTGCAGCATATTTGCCTAATGCAGATGCTAATGACTGCTGCTTCCATGAGTGTTGATAGTTGATCCAAGAAGAATGAAGTCCTTGACAACTTCAGTCTTTTCTCCAGGGTTAACCATGGGCAATTTCATTCCGTGCCACAGGTGCCTTGGATAGCATCACCAAGTACTTCCAGATGTCTCTAGATGCCGAGCAGAGGGTAAATGCCTCCACCACAGATCACAACAGCACGGTGGATCAGTCGGCACTCACTCGAGGCCAAGTAGAAGAACTGATGTTGGAGCGAGAGACACAGTTCAGGGAAAAACAAGAGGAGCAGTCTCGTCTCCTTGATGAACTGGCAGGCAAACTACAAAGCCTCGACCTTTCAACTATTGCTGAGATGGTGAGTTGGGGGCCAGGCCTCCCTGATAGTTATAGGAGGGAAAGAACCTGCTTTGTCTTAATAATAAGAAGCTCTAGTGATGCTGTGGGTTTGGCTTTGAGCTGCTAACTGCACGATTGGTGGTTCAAACCTACTAAGTGCTCCACGGGAGAAAAATGACACTGTCTACCCCCACCCCTATATAGAGTCTCTGTGAGATGGAATTGACTCAGCAGCGGTAGGTTTGATTTGTTGGGGTTTGTGTGTATGTGGTTTGTCTTTAATAAAGGAGCACTGGAGGTACAGCAGCTAAGCACTCAGCTGCTTACCAGAAGGTTGGCAGTTTGAAGTCACTCTGCAAGAGAGAGGTGTGGTGGTCTGCATTTGTAAAGATTACAGCCTTAGGAACCCTGTGGACCCTTCTCCTCTCTTACAGGGTCACTGTGAGTCAGGATTGACCCTATGGCAACAGTCTCAGGCTTATCTTTAAAACTATTCACTTTGTAAAGTAATCAATAGGAGCGAAATTTGCAGGCCCAGGTCTCTAGGTGAGAATATGTGATATCCTTGACCAAACTGGATTAAAAACAACACTATACATACTTCCAACTTCTCTTCCAGCGATTTCTCTGTGGTATAAACAAAGATTGAAGTGGACGTTCCCATACTATTATTTAAGCTTTATCCTTTTCATACTGTTGTTGTTTATACTGATTCAGTATAATTTCTTTTTTAGTTTGTTCTGATTCAAAGTACAAAATCCAACTCAGTGGGGGAACTCAGAATTATTCTGGGGAGATCTTACTAAAATCTTTAGAGAGCCAAGGGTTTTTTTTTTTCCATGGAGGTTAGCTAAAATGTTCTTTTGTTCCAGTAACTTTACCTGGTGAAGATTAACCCTAAGAACAGTCTAAAATGTAGATTCATTTCCCAAAAGCTTTTAAAAAGTAACCTTGGAGCCAAATGAAATTGAGTAGTGAGGTCAATGAAAATCAGGCAGGTGGCCAAAAAACACCTGTTTCTTCCTCCTGTTTCCTTTTTGTTTTTCCTGAAAGGGCTCCCTGTCTGAGAGAATTCTGAGGGTGTTTCTTGTTGTCAAAGTCTTGTGTTCACTTGGCTAGTATGCACACAGGTGCCTAAGATACTGGGAAGACTTAAACTTTCTTACAATTTTGTCTTCCTGAGTTCTGCTCTTTTGTCTCTCAGACAGGGACAGAACATTCTGCCAGACTGTACTGTGAACACTTTTATTGATGCTTACAAGGTTGTTTGGATTCCTGGTATGGCTCTGTAGGATAAGCACTGGATTGTGAAGCACAGGGTCGGCAGTTCAAACCCACAAGCTGCTCCTGGAAAACCCTACACAGGATAGTTAGCAGTCGGAACTAACTCCATGGAACTTACAGTAACAGTAATACAACAGTAACAGTAAATGAAATTGTTATATAGATAGGCAGTGCTCTGTCTCTCTTAATCTTGTTTCCTTCCAGTACTGATAACTGCCTCACAAATTATTACGGTAGTGGTGGTTGTGTGCTGTCGAGTCTGTTCCAAATTACAGCGACCCTGTATAGGGTTTCTGGAGCTGTAAATCTCTATGGGAGCAGAAAGCCTCATTTTTTTTCCCCATGGAGCGGCTAGTAGCATAAACAAATAAAATCCCTGCAAACTGAAATGAACAGGAGCTATGCATGTGAGAGGATTCTTGTTTTGGAACGGGAGGCATGCCGTGAACCGCTGGGGCTGTATGGAGTTCCTTTGGTCCTTTCCACCTCGTAAGCTCCCTAGGATTAGCCAGGATCTTCTGTCCTCATTATTTTGGGATCTTGATAACAGTCTTTTTGTTTTTTCTTTAATTTTGTTGTTGTTAAACATACATAGCAGAGCCTACACCAGTTGGTTTCTCCATGTACAATTTAGTGGCTGATTACTTTGAGTAGTGCCACCGTTCTTTCTGAGTTGTTCCTTCCTCATTAACATACACTCACTACCCCTCAGGTTCCTACTTAGTTCTTCTATTATTTTTTTAATGGTGGTGGTGTGCCGTGGAGTCAGTTCTGACTCATAGCGACCCTGCACAGGGTTTCCGAGGCTGTAAATCTTTATGGAAGCAGAACGCCTCATCTTTCTCCCACCGAACAGCTGGTAGTTTCGAGCTGCTGACCTTGAGATTAGGAGCCCGATTCATAACCACTACGATGCTATCAGAGCTCCTTTTTTAATATTCAGTGATAATTCCCCTTAAAAGTTCCTTACTGCCATTTCCTTGTGTAAAGATAGATTTTTGTCCCCTTGTGTTTGTCAAGTACCTTCTGTCTTTTATCTCTGTGTCTGTTTAGCTAGAACCAGGCATTTTTCATGCCTTGTGTGGTGAAACAAAGCAGACCTTCTAGTGTGTTATCAGAGTGTTTTAGAGGCCTTAGCTTCTCTGCTTGACTAAGAGTCAGGTTCTCCTGTTCAATGCCCGGAGAGCTTTATTTCCTGGAACATTTTATGTACTGTAAATCAGATATATGAAACATACTTTAGTTGCTAATTTGAGATATAATGGGCCTACCGTTAATTTTAAATGATTAGGCTAATGAGTTTATATCTATTCAAAAGCTATACGTTTTTTTTTTCCGATTTGGCATGCCACTTTATTAAAAGTATTTATTTCCACAAATGTTTATCCACAGCTGAATATTACAGTAACGATTATAAGCATTTTTCTATAAATAAAGGTGTAGTTTACAGATTTGTTCAAAATGGAAAAATATTTTCATAAGTAGCATTTCCTCTACATTGTCAGTCACCCTGAATATGTGGCCTACTGAGTCAGTCCTTCATCTAAACATCAGTCGGTGGCAAACTGGTCCACCAGCATAGCAGTCTTCTGATATGATGTCACTTTAGAAAGTAACTGAATTCATTTCAGGTTAATCCCCTTTTATACTAGAATTTTTTTTCTTTTTTTTTTAAGACAAAACAGTTCTTAGTATCTAGTGACCTTTATAACAACTGCTCTGTTTTTTGTTTTTTTTTTAATGTTTTATTGTGGATTATGTGATAGTTTACATGGGAGAACATTAGCTTTACATTCATCCCATCGTATATCGCTTCATTGCCATGGTTACAATCCCCTTCATGCATCATCAACCAACCAAAGGGTACACCCTGCAAGCCTGTCCCTTAGTCGTCAGCACACAGTCCCTCTCCCTCTCTGGGTCCATCTCTCCATGTCATCATCTCTGTCTCCGTCTCTGGTGTCACTGCTTTTCTGGGTATGGTCTCACACTCCTCTTTTCTCCCTTGATGGTTCTAGGGACTTCGGCTCTTGGATTGCATAATGAATCACTCTCCTCTTTTTGCTACAAAACATCCACCTTTACATTTCCAGCCCTCACGGTCAGTCCTGATAACAATGATTCACCATTGTACCACAAAGGGACCTATCCCCATCTCCTTTCATTAGCCCCGCCTAGACAGGTTGGATACTACTCAGTGGAGATTCTACCTTCCTCCACGCTCTCTGTATCTAGGCTCCCTCCTGAAAGCTTGTAAGCCAGTCACTTCTTGCCTTTGTAGCCCCCCACCCCCATTTTGGGTAGCCAGTGTCCAAGTTGCCCATCCCTGTCTACTCTGTGTGTGGAGGGGGTGGGAATGATCCTCGCTGTAAAGATTTGTTCCTTCTTTTGAGCTACTGCATCCATAGGTGTTGGTCAAAAGCTATACTTCTTGAAAGTAATTGTTTTCTTTTTTTCCATGTTTCACTTCATTAAACTCTCTGCTTCTTTTCAGCATGGGCATTTTCCAGAAAAGGATAGCTCTGTCTACAGTTTTCTTCTGTTCAGCCTTTTCTATCATTTAATATACACTTGGAAGTTCTGATTTTGGATTTGTGTGCCTTGTCAAGGCTGTGAACTCTAAGGAAGTTTCTGGAATAGTTAGAAAAGGATGAATATTCTTGGCGAGAGTCTTCAGAAAAACTTCATCCATTTTTGTATGGTTTTCTTTCTCCATCTCACATCTGGAATACTCTTCCCCTTTTCCTGCTCAATTTCCACCCACCAGAAAATCCTCCCCCACCTACTACAACCCTACCATCTCCTACAGACTTAACTACTTCTGACCTCTTCTTAGCAGGTTTATATGAAGTGATCTCATCTTCCTAACTAGATGGAAGGTTATAGACACATGGCCTCTTGCTTCACACCATGGACTCCTGGTGTGGTGCTGTAGGATCAGCACTGGAATTGGTCACTATGAGTTGGAACCAAGTCAATGGCACATAACAACAGCACTCTTCTATAGTGCTGGTGTGGCACTGTAGGATCAGCATTGGACTACAAGGTTGACATTTCAAACCTACCAGCTGCTCCTTGGAAACCCTACAAAGGGTTGCTGTGAGTCCAAAGCAACTCGACAGCACTGAACAACATCACTGTAGTTGTCAAAACAATTAGTATGGCACTGGGCCCAAAGAAGGTTCTTGTTGTTGTTAGGTGCCGTCAATTTGGTTCTGACTCACAGCAACCCTGTATAGGGTCTCTGAGGCAAGAAATCTTTACGGGAACAGAAATCTTCATCTTTCTCCCAGAGAAGTTGCTGGGTTTAAGCTGCCAACCTTGGGGTTAGTAGTTCAGTGCTTACCCTATAGCACCACCAGCACACTTAAGATTCTTAGTATCCCTCCCCCCCCCCCCCTTTTTCAAACTCAATTGGTGAGCAGAAGGGGAGAGACATTCTTTGGCTCTCCCACTGCAGAATTACACTTGATGTCACAGATAATGTCTGCATCCTGGACAGAGCCTATATGGTATTCGGATTCATCAGGGCAAGAAGAAATTGTAAACTCTCATTAATTCCTTGGTAATAATCAGGTTAGCGGATTCCTAAACTCTTTACTCCTCCGCATCCTGCCTCTTAATACTGTTTACCAGCACCCTTGCTGAGGACCAGCTGCATGCTCTCAGGGGCCACCTAGGGCCCGCACAGCTGTTAAGCATAGTAGCGTAGTAGCATAGTAGCGCATTCACCTTTTGAGCCCTCCTGCCCGACCCTTGGTTGTTACAGACTTGTGGAACGCCTCCTGGGGCCTCCTGCTCCGAGACGGAATGCGGCGGCCCAAACTGCAGAACTGACGAAGGAGAGAAGAAGTGTGGGGGGCCTAGCTGTGGTGGTCTTGTCAGTGTTGCACACAGTGCCTGGCAAAAAGCCACGGACTTTGACCGAGATGTCCTGAGTGCCCTGGCTGAGGTGGAACAGCTCTCCAAGATGGTAATTCCAATGTTATTTGCTTGCATGCTTGAATTTTTGGCTGGAGAATTGGAAAGGGAGACATTTACTCTAAATGCTAGTTAAAATGACAGGGGAATTCCGCAGTCAAGTATGAAACTCTTGTGTTTTATGAGAGCAAGTTTATTCATAAACAGTTTACTCTTAAGCAGGAATAACGTGTGCTTTACAGCAAGAAACTTATATTGTAGACTACCAATGACTGCATATAATCACGTTCCATTCTAGTACCTCCAGCTGTAGATACTTATGTTCTGGATTAGTGTTAATTCTTCTAAAGTGACACATACTGTTAGCTGAAGTAACAACACTGAGACAAACACTAAGGGAGCATTTTATAGTTCATCAAATGTTGGGAGGAGTTTATAAAAAACTTTGAAAGTTTTTATATGCAAGGCCTATCTGTGTAGGACTGCTGTATAGGAATCTGAATACCTTCAGTCTGTAGAGAAATACAATCTTTTGTTGAATGTCAGAAATTTGTTTCCAGAAACTTGTGATTCCAAATGTTTTCAACATCATTTTCTGGATCATTTCTAATATCCTGTTTTTCTTTGGTAAGATTGGAACTGTCCCATGGGTAATGTATTCCTCACATTTAGGTCTCTGAAGCAAAACTGAGAGCAGATGAAGCAAAACAGAATGCTCAAGAGGTTTTACTGAAAACAAATGCTTCCAAAGAAAAAGTGGACAGGAGTAATGAGGATCTGAGAAATCTGATCAAGCAAATCAGAAACTTTTTGACCCGTAAGGAAATTTTTCATTGTCACTTTACGTTTTGGTATTTGTTTCGATCTTAGAACATAAAACTTCTAACATGTAAGGTTTTCTATTTGGAAGGTCATGATTCAAACCTGTATTTTAGATCAAAACGGTTTCTGGCAGGAATAAGGTAACCTTTCCAAAGAAAAATTTCCATAATAAAGAAGTATTCTCATTTCTTCAAAAACTTATGTACATGTATATAAACAACAATAGACAGACAGCTGTACAGACGGGTAGCCCATCAAGTCAAACATTCACTGTGGGAGTTGCATTTGGAATTTATATTAAATGGTAACACAATCCTGATTTCACTATGAGGAGATATTTTACTTTATCATAGAGGTAGATGCCTGAACAAAAGCAGGATTCTGTTAGCAAGGGAAATGGGGAAATGGCTAAGTAGTAACCCAGTATTTGCTATGGGGATTTGAAGGAATATCCTGTGGAACCTATCGTTCAAGCCCATATTTCCCTTTTACTAAATGCATTAGGATTTTTGTTGCTGTTGTTGTTGACAGTTTGAAAAATATAAAATGATCTGAGAGGTATTTGTTTTGATCTGTCACATTGACATTTGATGAAACTCTCTGGGTTCTATCCTGGTTCTCCCTGATCATCTCCCTTTCTGCCATTTCCTGGGCTAGATCATTTATAAGGAATGTGTTTAGTGCCGTCAAGTTGATTCCAACCCATAGTGACCCTGTATAGGGTTTCCAAGGAGCAGGTGGTGAGCTTGAATCACCGACTTTGCAATTCATTCGACTTTGCAGTCTGATGGCATTAGACCACAGCTCCACACCAGGACTCCTTTTTAAGGAATATTATCAGCGTATACATTAACTGAAATTTTATTGTGCAGTAAGTGGAAGTTTACAGAGCAGATGTTAGTTTTACATTCAACAAATCACATTGTCGATGTAACATCTGTCATCCCACTTCCCCCTGTGTGTTTTGTTTCCATTCTTCCTTCTTTACCAACCTGAATGAATGTTGTTCTTAGGTGAATGTTGCTCTTTTGAACTCAAATGTTTGACCACTCTGTGGTGTACATACCTCTCTTAATATTATTGTCCCCTGCTATATACTTTTTTTTATCGCTTGGCTGAAGATTGAACCATGGCAGTGAGTCGGCCCCAGACCTGAAGGGTGACCGCGGGCCATCGTGTTGGGGTTTTACCAATCTCTGTCTGACCAATAAGCCTGGATTTTCTTTTATGATTTTGAGTTTTGTTCCACATTTTCTCCCATTCTATCCAGGACCTTCTCACATGATTCCTTTCAGAGCAGTTTCTTGTGGTCTGCGTTTACAATAAATATAACTCTTTTTCCTGCCTCAAAGTTTTCATTACCTTTTAGGATCAGGCTTAAACTTTAGTCTATCTGATTTTCCACAATCTGAACCCATTCGCTATTCTTCCACATAAAATGCTCTGCTTATATTCTCTCTCCATCCAGAAATGTCCCTCTTCTTCTTTCTAATCCTATGTATTCGTCACAACCTGATCAGTGTCATAATCTTTTGTTAAGCTTCCCACACACACTACCCTAGCCTCCTACAAACTCTGGTAGTACTCATTGTCCAATTACTTTTTCATGTGTGCAGTAAACTGAGACGTCATAACCCCAGTGCTGTTGTGGGCATATTGAAGATGCGCTGATCAGCAGTTGAATACGTGCTTATTCACATCTTTGCTTTTCTCAGAGGATAGTGCCGATTTGGATAGCATTGAAGCAGTTGCTAATGAAGTGCTGAAAATGGAAATGCCTAGCACCCCACAGCAATTACAGAACCTGACAGAAGATATTCGTGAACGAGTTGAAAGCCTTTCTCAAGTAGAGGTTATTTTACAGCAAAGTGCTGCTGACATTGCCAGAGCTGAAATGTTGTTAGAAGAAGCGAAAAAAGCCAGGTATCTGGAGAGATTATGGCATTGAGGGGGCTTATTTTGAGTGTGTAGCATGGGATATGTAAGTGTATCTTTTTAACCAGTGAAATCTGCAAGTGTGGTTCTCTCTGGGTTGTTTGCAGAAAGCTATTTATAAGAAATGTTAATTTGTACTTAGAAGGAATTTTTCACACTCACATATATTTCCTCATTTTTTTTACCCAGCAAAAGCGCAACAGATGTTAAAGTCACTGCAGACATGGTGAAGGAAGCTCTGGAAGAAGCAGAAAAGGCCCAGATTGCAGCCGAGAAGGCAATTAAACAAGCAGATGACGACATCCAAGGAACACAGAACCTGCTGACTTCGGTGAGATACTAGTCTAATTATTCTTAGGAGAAAGCACCCACATACACTCACTGATTAGAAAAGTAGTTACTATTATTCAAATTTACACACCAACCACTAAAGCCAAGATCTGTCTTGAAGTAGAACCTGTCTATGATAGGATACCACCCATGTGCCTACAAGGAAGACCAGTTAATACCACTATTATTCAAATTTATGCACCAACCACTAAAACTAGTGAAGATGAAATTGAAGAATTCTACAACTTCTTCAGTCTGAAATTGGTCAAACATGCAATCAGGATAATTACTAGCAATTGGAATGCAAAGGTTGTAAACAATAGTTGGAAAATATGGCCTTGGTTATAGAAACGATGCTAAAGATCGCATGATAGAATTTTGCAAGACCAATGACTTCATTGCAAATGCCTTTTTAAAACAACATAAAAGACAACTATACACATGGACCTCACCAGATAGAACGCACAGAAATCAAATTGACTACATCTGTGGAAAGAGACAGAGGAAAGCCCATCTCATCAGCCAAAACAAGGCCAGGGCAGACTGTGGAACAGACTATCGATTGCTCATACGCAAGTTCAGGCTGAAGCAAAGAAATTAAAACAAGTCCATGAGAGTCAAAATATAACCTTGAACATGTTGTTAGGTGCCAAATGATACAACCTTTCTTGCTGAAAGCATAGATTTAAAGTACTTAACTTGATGAAGCTCCTTCAGTATGGGTTGCACCTCAATGTACAGAAAACAAAAATCCTCACCACTGGACCAATAAATAACATCACGATAAATGGAAAAAAGATTGAAGTTATCAAAGACTTCATTTTGCCCATATCAACACTCATGGAAGCAGCAGTCAAAAAATCAAACGACTTTGTCTGTCACACTTCAGACATACATTGTCAGGAGGGAAGGGACCAGTCCCTAGAGAAGGATATCATATTTGGTAAAATGGGGTGTCAGAGAAAAAGAGGAAGACCCCCAATGAGATGGATTGGCACAGTGATAGGTTCAACTTTATTAATGATTGTGAGGTTGGCACAGGACTGGGCAATGTTTTGGGGTTCTGTTGTGTATAGGATCACTATGAGTCGGCACTCACTCAATGGCAGCTAACAACAACAGTGTATGCATAACTGTTCTTACAAGTGAATATTAAAGGATCCTTGGCACTGCTAGATAATGCACTAGACCACAAGGTTAGTTTGAGCTGCAACATCCAGCTGTTCCTGGAAACCCTATACAGAGATGCTATGAGTCAGAACTGACTCAAAGGCACGTAACAACAATAATGCATTAACGCAGATGCTAGAGTGAGTAGAAAGAGGTTTTCAAAGAAAGAGTAAATTCTGAAGATACTGAACATTAAGCTCACTTTCATTTTATCTCCTACAAAAAGCCAAAGAGAGGTAAACGTACATGTTGGCTCCTGTTCATTCAGAAAATTGCATATGACTCTATTCATTAGCATATGGTACAAGCACACTTCATAGGTACTGCTAGTTGTTCCAGACAACCGCAATCCAATGAGGATCACAATAAAGCAAATCACACAATTTTGTGTTTGTTTCCCAGTGTATATAAAAGTTGTTTAGGATATGCACTGAACTGTTAACAGTAAGTTTAAACCCACCAGCCACTTCACAAGAGCAAGATGAATGAAGCTTTCTGCTCCTGTAAAGATTTACAGCCTCGGAAACCCTCTACAGAGTTACAGCATCTACTTGGTGGCAGTGGACTAGACTGTTAAGTGTGCAATAACATGACGGAAAAGTCTGAACTACAGCAAGGATTACTAAGATGTGAGAGGCACAAAGTGAGCACATGCCGTTGGAAACATGGTGCCAGGACACTTGCTCAATACAAGGTTTGCTACAGATCTTCAGTTTGTTAAAAAAACAAGTATCTGCAAAGCACAATGAAGTGGAACACAACAAAATGAGCTATGCCTGTTTCAAAACCAAGTTTAAGAAAAAGGCTGCTTACACAGTTAGGTTGATTGTTCACAAAGACTTCTTCACTAGTTTTAAAAACCACTGGAAAGGAATGAAGGTCAAAATGTCTACTTATTTCTGATGCCCAATTCTAGAATCATCTGATATAGTTTAACAGTCTGTTCAGAATTAATGGAAAGCAATTTTTTTTTATAAGCAAAAAACTTAGTGACTACCATTTAGTAAAAATGATCACTAAGAAAAGACATTTTCACATGACTGTAGTGTTTTATTACAAAACTCCTTGTAGCGCTTTTAGGGTAAATTCATTTGGACACCTTGAAATTGGATGCTCTCAGTAATCTGCTGTTGGCCTCCTAGGCTAGCAACCTCAGTCTGTTTGAATGCTGATAGTTTTATAATGTGTTTTCCTACTGTTAACACATACAAACCTCTAGTCTGTTTGACAGTTGTGAAATGAAGCCCGGTAGCTTCTCAACCACTTTTAACTTCTTAAATCTGGACCATATACAAGGAGGCTTCAAAAACTTTATGGAAAAATCCCATTATCCTTGCATTTCATTTTTCCATAAGCTCCCCACCCCCCCGCCTTTTTAAGTTTTTATTGTTGAGTGAAGCTTTACAGGGCAGATTATCAGTTTTACATTCAATAAATCATACTTTGTTTCCCTGCAGTGATTACAATCTCATCCATGTACCATCCAGTGACAGGAATTTTCCTCTTTTCCCTATTTATTTTTTTTGATACACACATAAAAAACAGAAACTACATATTCCTTTAAATGTCTAAAGAGGAGACTTTGCCAGTCAGCCTCTGCCTGCAGACATACAGCCTTTCTCAGTCAATGGGCCTGGAGTCCTCAGCTGTTCTACATCACTGCTTCTGCTGCTGTCACTGTGTTTCTGGTTAGGATCCCATGCTCCACTCATGCTCCTCCCTCTTGTTGGTCCTAGGGTCCTCTGTTCCTGCAATGGAAGATTACTCCCCCATTTCAGTTACACATCTTTCACATTTTCAGTCAGTGATAATCACAATTAGTCCTGATAACAATTACACCCAACAGAATCATAAAGTCCTATCCCCATCCTCCCCCATCCCCTTTCAATCTGGCAGAGGGGAGTTGGGGAGAGTGAAACTATTCAGTGGGGATTGTGCCTTACCCTACTTCTGTCTGAAGCTAAGCACACTAATGAAAGCTTGTAAGCCAGCCACTCCTTACCTTTATAGTAACATCCCATTTTTGGTAGCTAATGTCTAAGTTGTCGGTCCTTGTTAACCCAGTGTACTGAGGAGGCAAGCTTGATCCTTGATATGAAGAAGCATTCCCCTTCAGTTGGAATTTTGAGCAACTACATCCATAAGCAAAGGCCCAGTTCATCAAATTGTAGCTCTTTATGCTTGCTCCCTGTATCAAAGTTCTATATCTTCCATCTGGTCAAGTTCTGGTCAACTAGCCATCCAAACTATGTCAAATGGGTACTATCTGCAAGTTTGGGAGTTCCTTCATGCTTCCACCACTTCAGATCACCTGGCCGCTCCACTCTCAGCTCTAGCCTCCAATGGCTAGATCAGTGTCCACAGGCTCCAGAGTTCACATGCCTCTGTAAACTTCAGATCATCCTCGTCTCTCTCTCAAGGCCAACAGGTGTCTATGGAACATGGCCAACATCAGCCCGTCTTCATTACTGCATTTCCTCCACATCCACTCACAAGTAGACCAGGGCAGTCACCAGTGAGTATAGACCTGCTCCTGTGTTCCCTTTGTGTTTCAGTCTTTGAAGGGGGATTGCCCTGATGGGCTGACTTCTCTTGTGTTGATGGATCCAAGGTAAACAGCTTGCTTTGCTAGTCTGACAGCCAAATAATCTTTTTACTGGTCCTTCTTTGTAGAAATTTCTATTCCTCTAGCTGTTCCAGGTTGGCCTGCCATGTCTTTTCAAGTGGGAATGTCCCACCTCAGAAGATTCTAAGCCTCAGGATTCCATGTAAGGCCCCGTACTCCACAAGGCTTAACAAGAAGTGCCTGTTTCCCTGAGCAAGTTCTAATTCTCCTTTTAGCTAATCCAGTCAGCTATAGGCTGGTGATGGGCTTACAAAGCTTTCTGTAATCATATTTCCCCAAGTTCCTTTCTATCGCACTTCAATGTCTATTTCACAGTAGAAGGCTCTATAAACTTTTTGAAGCCTGCTCAGTTCATTTGTTCAGCTAGAAAAAAATTTTTTCCTACCAGACTGTGTATTCTAACACTTTAATTACAGTCATTTTCCAATCTCAAGATTTTCACTATCTCCATGTACTGTTAATGTTTTAGTGAACTTTATTTTGGGGACTTTTATAAAATCATATTTTAAAAAGCAAATTCAACAATATTAATCAAGTCTTAAGAGATGTTGGACTTGATAGTACAGTTAATATGGTGGATTTGTTTTTCAAGGATGGATAGGGGACAAGAAGTATGTTTAAGCTAGTAGGAGTAACAGAGGACTTCAATTTAAACAATGCTGATGAAAGCCTGTCAGAAACTGGGCACCCATTTAAAAATTAAAGCTATTCTTCTAGGCCTTGTAACCAACCTCTTAGGAATTATTTTCTAAGTTAATATCAAAAAATTTGTGGAAAAATTACATTTTTCTAAGAAGTTTTTGAAGCCCCGCCATCCCCTTCTTAATTAGGGGAAATTTATTGGGTTAAAAATTGCTAGATTTAGTCAGTTCATTCTATGGAATACACCCACCCTTGAATAACATTTTCAAGAGCAAATGAGTGTCCAGTGAAAATTAATTCTTCTGCTTACTTTGGCTAACTTTTAAAGATAAATGTTTGTTAATTCCACTTTGGAGAGGCCAAATGTTGCCCAGATTGAGAAATATGTTTTTGCATAAATAGCTTTGAATGTTTATAGCTTTCACCTGTAGCTTTGCCAAACCTTATGCTAACTTTTCAGAGTTTTAAGGAGCATTCCTGGTTTCCATAAGGAGCACTGGTAAGTGTAAAGGGTTCCAAATGTTGGATTGCTAAATGCAATGTCAACAATTAGAATCTACCAGCCACTCCAGGGAGAAAGACACGCTTTCTGCTCCCGTAAAGATTTACAACCTTAGAAACCCTATAAAAGGTCGCTGTGAGTCGGCACCTACTCAACAACCCACCATCACCACCACCTGGTTTCCATGTCTTCAGCAATTGGCTGGAAACACTCAAATGAACTTTCCAGGTAGTTTCTGAAGAGCTATAACCTGAATAGGATAAACCAAAGAGGTGAGGTAAATACTGTTCCCACTCACATTAATTTGGAAATTGATGTGGAAATCTCTTCTCACATCTGTTTGTGAATGTTCTGCAGCCAAAATTTGCAGGTGTCTGTAAAATGCTTTCTCAACATAGTAAGCTGCCTGAGGGTGGCTCTTGCTGTCAGCAAGGAAGTACTTTGACACGACTTTCAGCCTGCTTGACTTTCAGCCTGCTGTAAGCACCGTGGGATAGGCTGACTCATAGGGACCCACCCTATGTAGGGTTTCTGAGGAGCAGCTGGTGAGTTGGAACCTTGTGGTTCAGTGCTTACGCTACAGTGCCACACCAGGGATATATCATCAGAAATACCAAAAGAATATAAATATGAGATGTAGCAAACATTGTTTACACACTGGTTATAAAAATGCTTGTGAAATTGTTTTCTTTTTAGCAATGCTTTGCAGAAACATGGCATGACAGCCTTTTAAATCTACCTTCAAATTTGTATTTGTAATATTTCCTATCATTTCTGAGTGAATGGCTTGTTGGGTGGCTGACATTATATTTTCATATTAGATTGAGTCTGAAACTGCAGCTTCCGAGGAAACCTTGCACAATGCCTCCCAGCGTATTAGCGAGCTAGAGAGAAACGTGGAAGAGCTGAAGCGGAAGGCTGCCCAGAACTCTGTGGAGGCACAATATATTGAACAAGTGGTGTACACTGTGAAGCAAAGTGCAGACGACGCTAAGACGGTAAGCAGGTCTTTGTAGCTTTACAAAGCTCTTTCTCTCTATATATATATTGATAAAGGAGCAACCTAGTCTCCTTGTTGCCTTGCTTGGAATTAACAAGGGAAACAGATGAAGCAACCGTGTTTTTTTTCCATTAGAAACATCTCCAAGGACCTGTTTTGAAATAGCAGTCTCTAGGGACACAGAAGGGGAAGAAATGGATACGCAAGTGTTCAATAACACCCACCCTCAAATCCAAACTTAGCTCTAAGGATTTAGAAGAATGAAAGTAACTTAAAGGTAGAAGGCATAGGACAAGCATATTGAATGTGTATTTATGCATTGTATTTCAACTACAAAGATCAAGCCATTTGCTTAAAGCTTTAAAACCGGCGTAGAAAAAGATTTTAGAATTCACTACAACAGCAAACAGCAAGGAACCAAATCTCACCCACTCCAGGCTCCTTGTTAATTAACCGCTCCCCACTTTTCTGTGGGGTGAAATACATGGCACAGAAATTTTCACACCAGCTAGAAGCCAAGTAATCATTGAAATATAAGTTCTGTTTCTTAATGTGTGGAGGCAAATGTTCATCTCCAAAGAGACCTCTGTAAACTTGAAGGGGAGGTTATCCGGCTACCAGTGGGGCTGTTTTGTTGAGGCTCACGATAGATGGTCTCAGATAGAATGGGATAAAGATGGAAAGAAGTCAAATTCTTAAAAGAACAAACAAAAAGATAAGACTTACTGGGCCATATGGGCCTGAGGACTGCCTAAAGAATAAGACATGGAAGTACAATGATGTAAAAAATCCATCTATATGAAACCAAAAGGTCAACATTTACTCTAAAGCTATTCAAGATTTTTCCTGGAAGTTACTGTATTTCTTATATATCACATAAAAGTAATGTCCCTATACTTCTGGGCCAAGAAGGCAATAAGACACTGTCATTGCCATAATAGCAGACTGTTTCTTTCCTGTTGTCATTTGTAATTTCTTGCAGGTCATAAAGTTTCCAAGTAGTCTTCTTACAGTGCATTTTACATGAATATGACAATTTATTACAACAAAAAAGGAGCAGAACCCCTTGTAATGAAATGTCCATACTTAGGACTGTGGTTTAAACATTGTTAAAAGAATCATTTGCAACTATCTTTCCAATTCTGCACCTAATTTCCCCTTCCTATCTTTTCAATATGCTAGTCTTGCCCTTCCCTTCAAATCTTTTTCCACGCTATAATTTTCTGATATCAAGACTTCACAAATCCTAAATTAAGATCCAATTGGTCCTCCTTTCATTTCTTTAGAAATGTTTGGATCTCAGTATACCAACTTTTAAGGAAATCTGCTTCAGCTTAGAGCAGGTCTTCGGACAGATTTCTCATGGCTGAGAAAGTGAGACTGGGAGCAGATTAGAATTTGCGAAGTGTGGGTGTACTAGAAATCCTGCAAAAAGTGTGGGTGGGCTGAAATTCTGCTAGAAAGGTAATCTCCCTCTTGCAAAACAAAGATAGCATGCACATCGCATAGCAACCAAATCTCTGAATGGGCAGAGGCAGAAACCTCAGAGGTACCCTGCTCAGGTGGGAGCTAACAGCCAGCCCTGCATGTGTCCCTCTCCAGTCACAGCAATAACCTGACCTCCTGCATCAGGTTCCTGAAAGGGCTCACTGTGTCTCTCCACATCTCCCATTCCAAGAACCCGTATTTCTTCCTGTTCTGGTTATTGTTTATTCCACCCAGATGTAAAAAATTCGGGTCTGTTCTGGTTTCACGGCATCTTCCATGACTGACTAGTTTGCAGCCTAGCGTTGAGCAGCTCTGCTCTTCACTGAAAAAAGGGCTGATCAACAAAGAGGGCTGGCCCGTAGGAGTCCTGCTGCAGAGCTAAAATTGCTTTTAGTAATGCTTCATTTTTAAACAGCATGCCAATTTTGCATTCAGCCAACTATCTGTGAGAACGCTTGCTGACCCTTAATCCACAACACTAGCGTCCACGTTTGTGTGTATGTGATCTATGCTTGCTACGATACACTGCTGCTCTCAGTGTGTATACACACTGATATCACCAATTTATGTCTTAACTGAACTGCAGGCTCTGGATAGTGAGCTGGATGAAAAGTATAAGAAAGTAGAAAATCTAATTGCCAAAAAGACGGAAGAGTCAGCTGATGCCAGAAGGAAAGCGGAAATGCTCCAAAATGAAGCAAAAACACTTTTGGCTCAAGCAAACAGTAAGCTACAACTGCTGAAAGGTAGGCTCACATTTTCATAAACTAATTTTAAAGATTATGACACTTTATAGTTTGTTTTTGAGGTGAAAATCTGTTGCCTTTGTCTTGGTATTTGAATAAAGCCTTATAGGCAAAGAGGATCAGTGCTAAGATTTTGTGATCACTACATTATACATTACCTAGGATTTACTTTTATATGTTCTCGCCCTCAGATTTAGAAAGGAAGTATGAAGACAATCAAAAATATTTAGAAGATAAAGCTCAAGAATTAGTGAGACTGGAAGGAGAAGTCCGCTCACTCCTCAAGGACATAAGCCAAAAAGTCTCTGTTTATAGCACCTGCTTGTAACAAAGGAGGAAGGGTTCTAAGCCTCAGATGGCTGTGGTGACCAAAGTCGTTAATAGCTACATTTTAAAAACTGACTTCATGACCTTCAAAATAAAACACCACCTATTTAATGTTTTTAATTACCAGATTTTGTATGGAGTTAAAATAAAGTACAGTGCTTTTGTATGAATATCTATTTAGTATAATTCTTAAGTTCATAGCTACTTTCACTGATTGAGTGCCCGTGAATCTCTTAACAAAGAATGTTATGTTCACTATAAAGATGGATTTATAAACAAGTCTTGTTTCCTTCCTGGAGATCCTGCTTTCTATAGTATCTATAAACATGCTATTGCTCCTCTGCCGGAGAGATCAACAGCCTGCACAAATCCACGCCCCAAATCACCTCCCAGTGGGGTTCCTGGGCTGAAGTTGAAGGAAAATTTAGCCAGAGTTACCTTCACCATTTCATGATTGCTTAGTCAATCTTCTTGTTCTAAGAAAGAGAACATAAAACGTAATTTCAGGATAAGCCCTGGACTATTAACAGCAAGGTTAGTTCAAACCCAGTAGTTGCTCATCAAAAACCCTATACAGGGTTGTTATGACTTGGAACTGGCTTGATGGCACTTTACCACCACCACTGCCTTCACCATTTCATGACTTAGTCACTCCAGTTTCCAAGACTCCTTATCCCTTTTTCTAGGACAAAGAACCTAAAAAGCAATTTCTAGAAACATGGACTTGTACGTATTACCACCTAAAATGAGTCCAGTGTTGCCGACGGGATGGTTTAAATTAAATCAGGCCGTTTTGGAGACATGGAAACAGTACTCCTGCCAGCTTAGTAGTATAGTATTACTAAGAGGGCTGAATGCTGCTTTAATGGTTCAGCTTTGTATTACACTATAACTGGTTTTGCTACCGAACTCCTCTGCTACAATCTGTAAAAGTTTTACCCAAAGACTCACAATAATCACTTATTCTACACAGTAAAGAAACAGCTGGAATGCAATTGGCAAGCCTGTATCAAGTTTATAGATGAGCTAACTGAAATCAGTACTCTCTGACTGACCCTTGTATTTCCATTCTCATACTGTGTTGTTAAGTGTGTTCCAATACAGTGGCCCTGTGTTTGAGCAGCTGGTTTGAGTCTGAATCGCCGACCTTGTGGTTAGCAGACAGCACCACATCAGAATAGAAACCCTTAAAGTTGCGTTTCATATTAAAATATATTTCACTATTGGTTACGAATCGGGCTGTGAGCCGCAAGGTCAGCAGTTTGAAACTACCAGTGGTTCCGCGGGAGAAAGATGAGGCGGTCTGCTCCCGTAAAGATTTACAGCCTCGGAAACCCTGTACAGGGTCGCTATGAGTCAGAACTGACTCCACGGCACATAACAACATTCCCTAATTAGTTTAAACTAGCACATTACATTATATTGGGTCCTCAAAACAGGTTTTTTAAAGCTGCAGAATTCATTTCTTGCAGTGGCAAAGTAGCACTTACCAAACCAACCTTCCTGCTGCTAACTGATGGAGAGCACTCAGAACCAAGCAGCAAGTAGGAGGGAGTGGACACTTGGAAAAAGGGCGAATTTCCCATTTTAAACATCTGTCATTTGAGGGAGGTTTCAGTAAGCAGCAACTTGAACAGAAACTTAGCAGCTGAAGATGACAAGAAAGTTAAGGCAACCAAAAACTAAAGATTGAGAGGGAAAGGCAGGCACCTCAGAGTTCGAGAAGGCCCCCAAATTCTGTATATATTCTGTCCAATGGCAGGATGACATGTGACTACACGCAGACTTCAAGTAGCCCAGCTAATAATACTCAACAACTGAAAGTGATTTCAGCTCCTGCCCACTGAAAAGCAGAGAGCTTGGAGTTTGGTTCAGTCATGTTTCTGCCTGCTAAAACAAAATCCAGTATTCTTCAGAGATATGTAACAGAATCCCGAGTCTTGACAATGACACTACAATCCAACGTTACTATAAATGAAGAAGAAGAAAAAATGACCTGACAGCTACTGAACATTTTCCATTCAGCAGTTATCAAGACAGATGAAAGGGTAATGACTTTAATGCATTATTGCAGGGGTGGGGAATGACCAGCTGTGGGAAATCATTTGGTCTGGCCCTGCCAAAGCAACCAGTTTCAGCCATCACATTAGGAGTGAGTTAATTAAACGTTTGACCAAATATAGCAGGTTAATTTTCAAGTTGATAATTTTGTATGGTCTGCAAATGATGTTACACATTTTGGCAGGAAAAGGGTTCCCTAGCCCTGCTTCACTAGAAAAAATGTTAGTTTCAACATTCTGAACTGCATCTAAAGACAATAATAGACAAAAATAATAACAATATCCACTAAAAGTAGTCATACATGAACCAGGAAGGACCATCTTGGAATCAATTCAGAATTACCAGTAAATGAAAGACCATGTTTATTTCCATATCTTCACATTTCCCAGTGTTAATACATTTGAGTATCCATTTTTGAGTTTTATAGATCAAGCCCATTAATAAGGTAACTAACTATACAATGGTCCTTCATATTTGCAGACCACAATGGAACCTTAAAAATCTTTTATCTGAATTTGAGGGTTAAATAAAAAGTGAGAACATTATTTTTTATTTACATAAGTTCAGTTTATACATATCTGACTCTTGTTTTAATGACTGATTTCTGTTTCTACTATGAAAGCCAAGTTTAAAATAACTTGATCACCTTGCTTCAAATAAAACTGTTCACATGCCATACTCCAGTTCCATCGTGTAAATAAACTTCAGCTTTACTAGACCAGAGGAAAAAAGCTATTTATATAAATTCAGTGGTGTTGAATCTTTCTTAAAAGCACGAAAACATGGTTGATGTCAATTTCCCAGGATGCTACTTTAGCTTTTTCCTGCAATATTAATGCACTGAAACAAAATATTGAGTTTATTTAAAATATAGATGTGGGATTATTCCATTCTGTCCAAACCTATTAAATGCCTTCCCAAAGTTTCTTAATTCAGTCCTAGAAATTCTTGGAGCTATGAGCATTTTCCGTTCAGAAATGTGACTTCTACAAAAGCTCTCAGGAGAGTTCAGGGAAAAAAAAAATGTAATCTTCTAATTTAAAAGTTGATTGATTTGCCAAATGATGCAGCCAGGTTTGCTTCTCTAAAAGCTTCTGATAAAGTCTGCAAAGGAAGAAATTCAAAATGAAAAAAACAAAGCATTTACGGGTTGGGAAATTTTAGTAATAGCCATTAATTGTGAGTGCTATTAAATAATTACCGGATGAGCGTGACAGACTCTTGCTATATCTTCACAGGATGCTCCATATTCCAAAGCAAGAGCAGCTTCATTTACCATTTCTCCAGCACCCTTTAAGACAGTAAGTCAATACGTAATTTTATTTCCATGACAAAAACAACTACATGCTAATAGAATACCAGATGGTCAAGAAAGGAGGCTTTTAAATCTTAAAATCACCTTAAAACTTTTTGTTTTACAAATTCCCTCAAGAAAACCTTAATAGACTAATAATAAACATAATAATGTGTGTGGGTATGAACATGTGTGCACAGATTGATGTCTACTGGCATACGTACACACAGATATGTGTGCATACATGTGTAGTCATTAAATTACATAAAAGGACAATTACAGATACTTCTTAGACATAAGCAAACACCTTGTGAGATTGGGTTTCTGGGTGTGAAGGCTGAGCACTATCATCCAAAGACTGAGAGGAGAAACTGATCGACAGGACTAGCAGCCTACATGAACTGCAGCCTCGTCTACCACAACCACAACTAGATGGTGCCCTGCTACCACTGCCAGCCATTCTTACTAGGGCCACAAAAGGCGGATCCTGAAAGGATACGAAAATGTGAACCAGAATAAGCTCTCAAAACATCCAGACTCAGTGGACTAATTGAGACTAGAAGACTCCCAGAGTGTATAGTCCTGACCTATATTTAAGCCTCAAACCAAAAGTATGTCTTGTGGTCACTTTTTTGAAAAATAACAGATTGGCTCATTAAAAAAAAAAAGGCTGAATAATGAGCTCCTTTAAAAAAATCGACACAAGACCAAATGTTCAAAAATAAAGATGATTAAGGTAAGGGGGCAGGGAAATTAAGAATACTGGAAGTGGTAACCAGAACAGAATCAATGAGAATGATGACATTGAAAAACGTAACCAATATTGCTGAATAATATGTGTAAAAATTGTTCAATGGGAACCTGATTTGCTGTAACACTTTCACCTAAGCACAATAAAAAAATAAGGGGGAAAACAAGTAAAGCTTAATAGAAAAGGTGACACAGAAATTAGGTGCTTGAGTACTGAAGCCAGATGGGCTGGATTCCTACCCGACCACGTGCTACTGCTCACTCGCTCTCAGTTCTCAAGCCCACAGAAGAGGGTCTTTATCATTAAAGGGGGAAAACAGTAGCACCTAGTTCACAAGTCATGAAAAGGAAATAAAATGACTTAGCATCATTTCTACATAAGATATCTGGACATATATTTTAGACTCTGTGGTAAGGAAAAGTTTCTCTTCAAGGCAACTTTTGAGCTAAGACCTGAATAAAGAGCCAGCCATGCAAAGATCTGTATTCAGAGAAGTCTATATGCATAAGGAATTAAAAGCACAAAGCTCTTAGATATGAGTAAGTTTGGTCTGTTATAAAACTGAGAACAGAGCACATGTAGCTGAGAATTAATGAGCAAAAGAGGGAAGTGTAGAAAGAGATGAGGTCATAAGTGAAGGCAGGACCAGATTCAGTGGGGTCCTGATGACAACTGTGCTATGACCTAGTGTACGTCTTAAAGGAATAATCTGAGCTACAACATGGAAAGCCAACAGTGGGGCAGGAAGGTGAGAAGACTGCAAGAGTGCTATTAGTACCGGGCTAGAAACAAGGCAGAGGACACATTACAATTTCTGCTAGTAGTGTTTAACAACCCTACAATGTAAACATCAGGTGGTTTGACATGAATTTATAAAATAGCAATATTTTGCAAAAATCCTCAAGATAATTCGTATTTTACAATACTCACTGGTCCTAGAATATGTGCTCCCAATACTCTGTCCGTTGCTTTCTGCCCAAGAATCTTCACCATGCCATCTGTGTCAGCATTTGTCTTAGCTCTGCTGTTGGCAGCAAATGGAAATTTCCCCACTTTGTACTCAATCCCCTGTGAGAGAAAGAAGATGCGAACCCACAGAAGCCCTGGGGTTATCCATGCCCATTGGTGAAATCGTCTAGCATCTACCACTTGTTGCAAAAACAAATCCCAAGGACAATTCTTTGTAGATGCTATATAATAAAGGACCAAATACTGATTGCTTAAATCAATTTGGGGTACAAATGCCTATCTATCTGGCTGTATTTCAAAGCCAAATATGAAAGTTTTAAAATCACTAGTTTTTTTAATCAGGCAACCTAACCCTCCTCTACATTTCTGCTAATAAACTTAAGGAGTAAATGATCTTCTTTATAATGCTACCAAAGAGGGGACAAAGATATAAACCCTCGTAAATGTTCTGTGTATGTTTTCAACAACAAAATAGTACCATATTTTTACACAAATAATGTACATTTATATGTATTTTCCAGACCACCCCGCATCCTCATGTGCTATGTGTACTATGTGAAGGGTGAGTTATTTTTGTGGTTGGGTGCTTTATTTGCAAAGATCTGGTATTTAAATATAGATACATAAACAAATTGTAATATTCTACAGTTATTGCAATATAATAAGGCCTTTGCTCAACCACCAGTGTCATTAGTTCAGTTTACACATCGTTGTAAAACCGCCTGAGTTCAGAATTACCTCTTCTTTCAACTGCTCTTCTGATTTGCCAACCCAAGCAACTTCAGGGTGTGTGTAGATCACTGATGGCACACAGTTGTAGTCAATGTGCACAGCACCACCAGCCATTCCTTCAACACAGATAATACCTTCATCCTCTGCTTTGTGAGCCAGCATTGGACCAGCAACCACATCACCAATAGCATAGATACTACCACAGGGGTCAAAACACACACAGTGAACTTCACTATGGTAGCAACAATAAAACAAGTTTCTAGATCACCAAAAATAAGTCAAATACAGCTCTTTAGAGATCTATGAATGAGTTCCATTTCTAATCTTTGAATTATGAAAAGAATTCAACTCATTACTTTTAATTTTACAACTATACATTTACTATCTTTCCCCCAAAGTATGGCAAGAGTCTTATTTTCAAAATAGTGATGTTAGACATAAATTTTTAAATTGTTAAAAGTGTAGAGAATGATCCAACTTACTTTGGAATTTTAGTTTGGAATCTGGTATTCACTGGAATTCTGCCTCTGGGATCTAGTTCAATTCCAAGTTCTTCCAGTCCCAAATTCTGAGTAAAGGGTCGTCGGCCAATGCAAACCAAGAGTACATCACAAGTGATAACTTCTGCTTTCCCACCAGAAGCAGCTTCAATACTAGACAATGAATAATATATTTCCAGTTAAATTGGGTATTTTTGTAGATGTATGTTGAACATACATACATCTACAAAAATACCCATACATCTAGAAAAATACCCAATTTAACTGGAAATTGAAGACCAGAGATTCCTTTAAGTATTGGTGACTTTTCTAATAGTTAATTCTACCAATAAACATAACAAGGATTAGGCAATAAAAACACATACAATACCAACTAGAGGGCTACCATTGTTGTTGTTAAGTGCTGTCGAGTCAATTCTGGCCCACAGAGACCCTGTATAGGGTTTCCAAGGAGCAGCTGGTGAGCTTGAACCACTGACCTTGCAGTTCAACCGAATTTGCAGTCTGACGTATTAGCCCACAACACCACACCAGGACTCCAGAGGGCTACCAGTAAACCCCCATAAAATAAGGTGTAAAGCACAGTAGTTAATAACATAGGTCTTAAGAGTCAGAAAGACTCAGACCAAAGTCCAAGGTGTGCCACTCACTAGCTGTGTAACTTTATGCAAGTTATTTTATTAAATTGTGTTAAGTTTTTAAAAAGTATTATGCCAGATCAAATCCAATTAATATTGTTATTACAGATTTCTCCAAACAGCTATCTAAAAATATTTAATTAATATCACTGAATGTTGGCATTTTAAAATTTTCAGAATGTATACTTAGAAAAGGTACATTATAATAACAATTTATTTTTCTACCATCAACTTAGGAGTGCGATGGCTATGTAGGGTTAAGCCTGGACAAGATCAGCAGTTCAGGTAGATCAGCTGCTCCACAGGAGAAAGATGAGGCTTTCTGTTCCTGAAAAATTTACAACCTATACAGGTTCGCTGTGAGTCAGAACTAACTCAATAGCACTTAACACCATCAGCTTAAATCATGAACGTCAATGAACTAATTTGGTAAGCTATAAAGATTTACAGCCTTGAAAACCCTGTACAGGGTCACTATGGGTCGGAACCGACTCCATGGCACATAACAACAATGTTATACTAAGCAAAAACAATCTTGAGGTATAAAAATGAAATTTAATAATGTGATTTTAAAATTTTGAGTGTTTTTCTTAGAACACACATACAAGGCTGCTATATCAAAAACAAATGTAGCAGGTACACAAGAACACCCAAACTTGCCGACAGTATCCATGTGACCTAGCTTGGATGGCTTGATGATCAGAACTCCACTAGAGGAAGATAAAGAAGTTTGATACAGGAAGTAAGTATAAATTGCTACAATTTGACCTTTACTTTTGGATGTAGTAGCTCAAAAATACCAACTGAGAGAGAAGGAGTCTTCACATCATGGATTAAGTCTACCCCTCAGTACACAGGACTGATAGGGATGGACAACTGAGACACTGGCTACCTAAAATGGGGGCTATTAAAGTGGCTGGCTTACCAGTTTTTAAGAGGGACTTTAATTTCAGAGCGAGGGGGGAAGATAGTATCCTCCCTGAATAGTTTTCATCTTGTCTAGATAGGTCTGATGAAAGGAGATGGGGATAGGATTCTTTTGATTCAATAGTAATTGTTATGAATAACTGCGACTGTCATAACTGTAAAGATAGAAGTTGTGTAACAAAAAGGGGGGAGTAGTTAATCTTACATTTCAGAAACAGAAGACCTAGGACCATCAAGAGAGAAGAGCATGAGCAGAATGTGGGACCCTAACCAGAGATGTAGTGACACTAGAGATGGAGGCAGAGGTGATGACATGGAGAGAGAGAACAGCAGAGGACTCAACTCATGGAAAGAGAATGGCTGTGTTGTATGGTGGTGGACAGGAGGATGGCTTGCAAACTGTGCCCTTTGGTTGTTTACACGATTCTATATTCCTGCATGTTTTTGTGTACATCCAATAACAGAAACAAGGAGTAGAGGCAAATACTGTTAACCACAGGGAGGGAACTGTAACCGCTGCAATGAAACAAAATACAATTGGTTGAGGGCAAAACCAAGGTTCGTCCATGTAAACTATCACTCAATTCACAATAAAAGCTTGAAAAATAACAAAAACAAATGTAGCATACTTACGAAACATCAATTTTTCCATCCGACTTCTTGGTAGCACCAGTAACCTTTGTATTCAATTTAAATTTAAATCCCTGTTTTTGAAGGATACGCTGAAAGTTTTTAGATATCTCCATATCAATTCCAATTCCACCAACATGACCCAAAAACTCAACTGCTGTCACATCAGCACCAAGTCTTTGCCAAACTGAACCCTGCAAGTAGCCATTAAAAAAAAAATTCATCATAAAAATAAAGATTTTTATAGCAAATTTTTTACGAAACCATCTTCAATCATTATTATATTTTCTTCTTTTGCAAATATGTTTCAATTAGAAGCTCTGAGGTTTTTAAAATGAACATTGTGGCAAACACATGTAACTCAATATATTCATTCAACATTTATTGAGAGCCTAGTATATCCCCTGGAATCCAGTGGCATAATGATTAGACTGCTCAATGAAGTCAACGCTTCAGACCTACAAGCTGTTTCCAGGGAGAAAGACGTAACTGTCTGTTTCCTTAAAGATTACTGCCTTGGAAACCCTATGGGGCAGTTCTGTAAGTCAGAATCAACTGACAGCAACTAGGACCATTATTAGGTGTGGCGACATAGGATAAGCACTGGACTGCAGTTCACACCCACTAGCCACTCCTCAGAAACACTCTCAGGGTCACTAAGAATCATAATGAACTCCACAGCATTTAACAAAAAAAATAAAGATATATAAGTGAACAACCCTAAATGCCTACCCTCAGGGACCTTATATTCTGACAGAGAAAACAAATACGTAAAATGTGTCAGAGGATCATTGTTGTCGTATGTGCCATGGAGTCATACAATATTATAAAACAATAGAGAAGAGAGCAATGCAGAGAAAGGGGTTGTCATTTCAGCTGTGTGGTCTGGTCAGCCTCGCTGGGAGTGGCATTTGTGCACAGACTGAGTGGACTATGCAGATGACTGGGGAGGACTGTTCCAAACACAAGGGAAGAGCAAGAGTGAAGGTCCTGAAGGGGAGAAAGATTTGTACTGCTACTAATTTCTGATACCTGGAAAATATTAAACTGACTTTGTATTCTATTTTCTCAAGGAAGGAGAAAAAAAATTAATTAAATTAATCCTGTTGTTTTTAACTAATAGATAAAAAAAAAATGAAGAGATGTTATTACACATAACAAAGCAAGTACTTCCACAATAAAATATTATGTTTATTTGAACAGAATGACAGACTGGGCTGATGGATGACAAAAGAATGGATCTGGTGTCTATGAGAGCCCCCCACGTGCAAAGCATTAAAGCAGGCGATGGAGATTCAAATACTCAAGTAACAATATAATACAGTCACTGGTCTTAAAGGATAGACGCCCATAAACTGGTAAAGGCCATGTATTTTTATTAGTGTTACAGGATAATGCACTGGACCACAAGGTGAGTCTGATCCACAAAGCTGGCAGTTTAAACTCACCAGTTACTCCTCGGAAACCCTATACAAGGTCTCTGTAAGCTGGAACCGACTGGACAGCACTGAACGATGAATTCCAAAAAGGAAATACTCATGCTTTCCCAGACTAATGCGAAGTCTTCACTAAAAAAGTGATTTTCATGTTTTGAGGACTATTTATTATGTCAACAAATGTTTATTGAGTAATAAAAGCAATAATAATGCTGTTGTTATTGTTAAGTGCCACTGAGTTGGTTCCAACTCATAGCAAGGGTTTTAAGGAGTGCCTCGTAGGTTTGAACCACCAATCTTGCAGTTAGCAGTCTAGTGCATATCTTACACCAAGACTCCAGTAATAATAACAGGAGCTAACAACAGTCCTCAATCAGGTGCCATGGAGAATTTAGACTCACAGAGACCCCGTGTGGTAGACGAGAACTGCCCCATTGGCTGTCATCTTTGTAAGGAGTTCTGGTAGCTTAGTGGTTGCGAGTTGGGCTGCTAATCTCACGGTCAGCAGTTCAAAACTAGCGGCAATATTGCAGGAGACAGAGCACAGCTTTGGAAACCCAACACGGGGCTGCTATGAGTCAGAAGCGACTCCATGGCACACCACCAATCTTTATGGGATGGATTGCCAGGTCTTTTCTCCCATGGAGCCACTGGGCAAATTTGAACCAGCAACTTTTCTGTTGGCAGTGAAGCTCTTAACCACTGCCCCACCATGGCCCTCATCAGGACCTGCGCTAGATGCTAAAGACATACTGGGAATGCATGGACTCTGTGACTTAGGGGACAGCTAGCACTGAGAAGAATAAATACCATAAGAAATGTAAGTGCAGTGCCGTGGAACAACATCGAGGGTGCTCAGGGTGCAGGACTGGAGCGAGGGAGGAGATGTTCCAAGCAAATGGAAGAGAGTCAGCAACATTTGTTCAGGAACTGAGAAGGAGGTTAAAATGAGACTGGCAAGGTGAGCCAGGGTCAAATCATGTTGGCTTTTAAGCAGCAATAGCGTTTGGATTTATCCCAAAAGCAATAGTGAACCACAGAATTGTAGAGCAGGGAAAGGACATAATTTAATTTGTGTTACATAAAGATAATTCCGGCCACCATAGGAAGAACAGATTAGAAAAAGAAAAAAGCCACGGAGACCTAGGGCAAGGCATGGTGCAGACCTGAGCTAGGGTCTAAGCTGTCTAACTGAAAAGAAGCTGGTGTCTGTATTCAACAGATACAGACCCAGCAGATCCCATAAGGACCAATGACTGACTGAATGTAGGGCATGAAGTCACATATAACTTCCAAATGTCTTGCTTAGGCCGCTACATATTATTGTTAGTGCCATCCAGTCAGTTCCAACTCACAACGACCCTGTATAGGGTTTCCAAGGAGCAACTGGTGATCTTGAACCACCAACCTTGCGATTCAAACCGATTTTGCAGTCCAAAGCATTAACCCACAGCACCACACTAAGTCTCTACATAATGGTACCAATCACAGAGATAGAAAATGTCAAATTAAAAACCGGTTTTGTTTCTTTGTTTCAAGGGGCTAAGTCATACATTCACTGAATTGCGTGCTTGTGAGGTACACAAATAAAGATGCTGATAGACATTTGAGACAAGACAGAGGACCAGGATACAGATACCTGTGAGTCTTTGGATAACTGAGGTGGAACTGAAGAGCATATTCTGTGAATAGACAAACAGAATTTTACAGAACTCGAGGACAGAATCTCAAATAATGTTAACAATTATAGGGAAAGCAGAGAAAAGGGAGCTTTCAAAGAGGATGATGGGGAATGATCAGTTCAAAGGGTAGATGTAACACCAGAAGAATATAAAGAGCTGGGGAAACAGTTCTGAAACCAAGAAAATCAACACTGCCGTTTGCTGCCAAGCAAAACAGTGAAGAACATAGTCAAATGGATTGAGTAATAGTAAGTCCATTTGTGTCCTTGTTTAAGAGCAACGTAATGGCACAGAAGCTATGAACTGCGGAGAGGAAGTCTGTGAAATCGAGCATGGACTATTTCAACAAGTCTGACTGTAACACAAAGGAGAGAGGAAAACATGCAACTGCAGACAGACACAGTCTGTATCTATGAGCATGAATGCATCTGAGCACACATAGGTGGCACACAAGTATATACACATGGGCAGGCTTAATGTAAATGAGGAAAAGAGCAGAAGTAGAAAATTTGAAAACTGAAAAATGCTGGAAATAAACACTACAAATCATAAAATCAGGTCTCTGAGATGGCAGATGATTTGTATCAAAGAACAGGTAATTTTAAAGAAAATAACATTTGTACAATAGTAGGAAGGTATCAAAAGCACAGTGCAACAAACAGGTAAGAACATTTTCAAATCTGTGCATTAAGATGAGGAAACTGTCATCTGATGTGTTCCCTTTATGTGATCTTTAGGGAACAAGGAAGGTCCTCTGTAGATGCAGGGCAGGGGGGTGGAGAAAGGTAAACACTGCAGCAGCAGAGATTTGAGAACAGTGGGAAATGAAACGGCTAGACTGAGTTCCTAAGCCAGACCCTGTGCTTTAGCGGGAGCTCGGAGCCACTGTGAGGTGGTCTCCAGACCTACAGAACCTGAACAGCCACCAGACCAGCATTAACAGTTACCTTGCCTCCAGTTGCCCTGTGGTCCTAAAAGACACTGAAACCAGCCCCATCAAGGGCTCCCACGAACTACTTCCAGATTGAGTGATCTAAACATAGATAATACCAAGGCCAACAGGAACTCTCTCTGGGATCAGGTGCTCTGCTGTCACATCCCTCCCATACCTACTTAGTGAGCTCCTTGGCTTGGAGAAGCCCCCCAGAGTTTCTTCCTCTCCAGGTCGAACAGCTACACTGATTTGTATGTTTTGGAGTCTGTTTGTTTTCATTTTGTTGTTTCATTGTTTTTGTTTATTCTTTTTTCTCCTTTTCTTTCCATTCACTTCAATTTTATGCCTTCTATCTCCACTTTTCATTTTCTCCTCACATTTCCCCTCTTATCTTCCCTTTTGATCTTTCTTTATGACTCTCTCTTTTCGTCCTTCTCCCTCGTTTTTCCAAGTGCTTTTTAGGTCTTCTTTTATTTCCTCTTCTCCAGCTCCATTTTACGATACTTCTTTTCTCTTTTGAACTATTAAATATTTGTTTTTTAAATTTCTTCCTTTTATTTTCTCTCTCTGATTTTTCTCTTCTATAGCTCCATTTCCCTGTCTCTCTTTTGTATATAATATTTTTCTTTGTTTTTTTTTCTGGTTGCTGCCTGTTTTTATTTATTTTTTCCTCTTTATTATTTTCTCTCTTCATTGTCAGTTGTTTGTTCTGTTTTGTTTTCTTGTGTGTCTGTGGTGGTAGTGGTGGTGGGACCTTGTCTTTCCCACCTGACACAGGAAATAGCATCTATGCCCATACAGCACAGCCACAACTGTACCCTATGCACCTTCACCCATGGGGCAAGAGCCAGTATCTATTCCTATACCACATGATAAATGATAGACAACAGTCACGCCAGCCAAACCCACACTAAACTGAGATGCACAAGCAGCAAACCATAACAGTGTACACACTTCCATTCTCTTAACTACACCCACAGGAAACAGTTGGTGAGCACCTAAGAGCCTGTCAACATACAATCATCAATTAAATACAGATAAGACAACCCTACAATGTCCCAGAAACAACAACAGACTATTTTAGCTCACACAAAGAAGCAAGAGAATGGCTAAAATAAATGATTAAGATGCAGAGCCAGAAAACATTTCTGAAGAAGAAGAGGTAATGCAATTAACTGAAAAAGAATTCAAAAGAATGAAATTGAAGTACCTTCAAAGGATTGATAAAAAGATCAAGAAAAACAAGCAGAACACAGAAAAAAACTCTAGAACAATTCAGGAAAACACTACAATAACAGACAGAATATATACAAATTTTGAAGCAATAAAAAACCTACAATTAAAATCCAAAAGATTTATTACTAAGCTTTCAGATATGGACAATACACTGAAAAGGCAAAGGAACAGTTTCAAATAAATGGAAGCCCAAATTAGTGAACTTGATGATAACACTCTCAATACTAGTAAGCTAGAAGAACCATCAGATAAAAGAAAGAAAAAATCTGAAAAAAACCTAAGAGTTATGTGGGCCACCATGAAGAGGAAAACTTACATGTGATAGGAATTCCAGAATAGAAAGATACAATAAAAAGCACAGAGAAAATTGTTCGAAGAACACTTCCCGAACAACACAAAAGACATGAAGGTAAGCATACAAGAAGCTGAGCGAATCCCAAACAGGAGAGATACCAAAAGAAACTGCCAAGACATATCATAACCAAATTTTCCAAAACCACAGACAAGGAAAGAATGTTGAGAGAAGGTCGGGAAAAACGAAAAGCTACAAAGGCGAACCAGTTTTAAGACTAAGCTCTGATTTCTCAGCAGAAACCACGCAGGCAAGAAAGCAATGGGAGGGCATACACAAAACTGAAAACAAAAAGATTGCCAACCAAGAATATCATATGCTAAGCAAAGTTGTCCCTCAAATACAACAGAGAAATCAGGACATTTCCTGATAAAGAGAAATTAAAAGAAATTTGTAACAACCAAACCAACTTTATGAAAAAATGCTAAAAGGGTACTCTTTGAACTAATGATCAACAACAGCAGACATGACATTACCACACAAGACAACACCACCCAGAACTCAATCCAGATATAGAATTATGTAGAGTAAAACAAACCTACAAGACTGAAAATAGGGAACCAGAGATATTAATTTTTAATGAGTCAACAACAAGGCAAAAGGGGGAATAGTGCAGATACAGAACTTCCAAATGACAATAAGTCAAGTAGATTTCAATATAAAACAGAGTATTTTAAATAGGGACAAAAAAGTAATATATTATAGGGTAACCTCAAAGAAAAGTAATATACCTGCATATCGAAAAAAAATAATATAAATGAGAGGAAATCAGAAAGATTTTAAAACATTAACACAACAGAAATGAAACGAAAATCCATAAACAAAAAGAATTCAGCACAGAAAATTAAGTGGAACAAAGAAGCCAGCAGCACCACACACACACACACACAAGTAAAATGACAGCAATAGATTAATGTTGTTAATGTCATTGAGTTGGGGATTCTAAAGAGCAGCTGGTGAGTTGAATCACCAATCTTACACAGTTCAAACAGAACTTGAAATTGAGTGTTTACCCTTGACCTTGAAACCACACACACCTATGTAAATGGATTCAATGCACCAGTCAAGCAACAGAGATCAGAATGGAATAAAAAAACAGGATCCTTCAATATGCTGTCTCTATAAAAGGTACAAAAAGATGGAGACCACCTAAAGCCTTCAACAGAAGAACTATTACACAAATTTTGGTACATGCACACAATGAAATATTACACAACATTGAAGGCTAACGATGAATCCAAGAAACACCTTACAACATGGATGAACCTGGAGGACATTATGCTGAGTGAAATTAGTCAATCACAAAAGGACAAATATTGTCTGAGGCCAATGTTGTAAACAGTTAATAAAAGGTTTTCTTGATAAAAGAAACAATCATGATGATTACGGGATGGGGGTTAGGCTAGAGGGTAGACACACGTTAACATGGGTGACAGGGCAGGTAATATACAACAAGAGTGAGGTTAGCAGAGGACAGATTAAGGTAGTGGGAGAGAACGGACAATGGAGGAATGCAATAGTTAAAGTGAACAGAGGTCAATACTGTTAACTGTCGGTATATGGAAAAGGGATTACAATCACTGTAGTAAAGCAAAGTATATGATTTGTCAAATGTAAAACTTATGATCTGCTCTTTAAACCTTCACTTAATTTACAATAAAAAGTTAAAAAAAAAAAAAAAAAAGCCACTTACCAATTCTACACCTATTACTCCTGCACCAATAACAACCATCTTCTCTGGAACTTTTTTTAAAGACAAAGCACCTGTAGATGACACTATTGTATCTTCATCAATCTGTAAGAAAAAAAGATACTATTAAAATTGCTTGGGAAAATCCAGTGATATGTGCCCTCATATATTATAATCAGTGAAAATGCTATTATTTGTTTTGAGATCTTTATCTCTATTACTATCTAACTGTCAAAAATTGACTAGTCCCATTAAAATGACACTTTCAAATTTTTATCATTCATTGTTTCTAGACAAAACTGCCAATTTTTACTTCATACTGAATTCAAAATTATCAATACAAAGTGATCTATATTTGTTCAAAATCACTGCAGAATAAAGATAGGCAACTTCCCAAAGCTAAGGGACTGTCAAAATCAAATATTTCAGTTAGAAATCTCTCGTTCAAAGTCTATAATCATGTATTAGACTAATGCATAAAAATGTGTTTTGAAAGGAAAGCTATAAAAGTTGCAAATTACAAAGCATCAATACCGTGATTCCAGGAAAGGGAGTAACTTCTGAGCCTGTAGCTATGAGAATGTTCTTTGTGTCGATAACTTGAGTGCTCCCATCACCCTTAGAAGCAGTGACCTGGTTTTTGCCAGTTATCTTCCCGTATCCATTTACGTGAACAACCTACATAAAATAATGCTTATAAAATCACAAAGTTCAAAATCTATTTTGATAAACATAATTAACAGGAAAATGTGTTAAATAAATGTATCAAATACAAAATGTCCTTTCTTTAATATGCTATATATTATGCAGCAGCAGCCAAAAAAAGAAAATTGCTATATATTTCAAGGAAAAGTTAACACACTGTTATAAATTTTTTAAATATCCCCAGTAGCCAGGCCCAAGTCCCATCACCCTATTAGTAAAGAGCAATGCTGAATGGGTACATAAAATAAAGCAGAAATCTGACCGTTCTGACCTTATTCTGTTTAAATAAGTGGGCAATTCCGCCTGTCAAAGCTTTCACTGCAGTACTCTTCTGTTCCATCATCTTCTCTAAATTCAAGCGAACTTCAGACACTGTAATGTGTTAAAGACATGTTTAGTTCTTCTCTAAGTTCTTGAAATTATAGATAGAATTTTTCACTAACTGCTGTTGTTAAGCACCACTGAGTCAGTCCCTACTCATAGCAATCCTGTATACGGTTTCCAAGGAGTGACTATAGGTTTGAACCACCAATCTTACAGTCCAGTTCATTATCCTGCAGCGTCACACCAGGACTCCTTTCACTAATTACGGGAGCAGAAAGCCTCATTCACTAATTAGGGTCTGGAAAATTTCAGTCTAATACTTACAATAAGCAGTTACAACGGAGTTCATTCTGACTCATGGCGATCGTATGTGTGCAACAGTAGAACTGTGCTCCACTGGATTTTCAGTATCTGATTGTTTAGAAGTAGATCACCAGGGCCTTTCTTCCACCCCCAGATGGACTCGAATTGGCGACTGTTTTGTTAGCAGTCAAGCACGCACTTACCTGTTTGTACCACACACAGGCACTCCTTTAATGCGTACAGAATATATAGAAAGCAATATTAACATTTTAAATTTAATAATGGATAGAATAGCCAAAGCTGACAAAAGAGGAACAATACATCAAAATTAATGAGACCCATCAAGCTCTACAGTTGATGGCACTTAACAAAAACATCATCATCAACAACAACATCCCCAGTAGCCAGGCCCAAATACCACCCAAGTGGCACTGTAGGATAAGTGTTGTTGTCGTTGTTAAGTGCCGTCGAGTGGATTCTGACCCAAAGCGACACTGCACAGGGTTTCCGAGACTGTAAATCTTTACAGGAGCAGAAAGCCTCATCTCTCTCCCGCGGAACAGCTGGTAGTTTCGAACTGCTGACCTTAAGGTTTGCAGCCTGATTCATAACCACTATGCTACCAGAGCTCTGGTAGGATAAGAACTAGGCCGTAAACCATTAAGGCCAGCTGCTCCTTGGAAATCCTATACAGGGGGCACTATGAGTCAGAATCAACTCAATAGTACATAACAATAACATCAAGCACTACAAAAAGTTCACTTTTAGTAGAGAAGCAGTCCAAAATTAAATATGCCCTATTGTGTGGTAACAAAGTCTCTTTATAACCTTATAATGGTTTAGGTAGATTTAAGTAGAAATGGCAGAGTAAAATTATCACCTAAACTTTTAATTAAGACCAATGCCAAATTTCATGAAATAAAAACATTTTTTTTAAAATGGTGAAAAATAACACCCCAAGTGTCTTTTAGACCCTCTCTAGAACAGACTACCCAGCAACTGTAACAAACGAATCTATTCTTAGAAGAGGAATTAGAATAATCCTTAGAAGCAAGGATGGCAAAACTTTCTCTCATTTTATCAGGAAGGACCAGTCCCTGGAAAAGAACATCTTATTTGGTAAGGTAGATGGTCAGGAACTAAAAAAGGAAGACGCTCAGTGAGATAGACTGACACAGTG